CCCCCCCCCCCCCAACTCTTTTTGGGGGCTGTCAGGCAGCCTGAAGGCCTAGCCCATTGCTATGACTGGCTATTATGATACTTACTTTGCAGTCTTCACCTTTGAATATTCAAGCTTTGAATAATTCAGCTTTGAATACATCAAGACTTTGTAAACCTGAGCCCAAGAGCCTATGCTAAAATCTTTGCCTTCTTAAAAACGGCATTAAAATTTTACCCTTATATTCCCCAGCTCAAATGAACTTTAATCAGTTTCACCCTTTCAGATGGCTATTATGATACTTACTTTGCAGTCTTCACCTTTGAATATTCAAGCTTTGAATAATTCAGCTTTGAATACATCAAGACTTTGTAAACCTGAGCCCAAGAGCCTATGCTAAAATCTTTGCCTTCTTAAAAACGGCATTAAAATTTTACCCTTATATTCCCCAGCTCAAATGAACTTTAATCAGTTTCACCCTTTCAGAACTGGGAAAAAAAAAAAAAAATAAATTAAAGGAAAAAAAAATCATAGAGGAAAGTCATACATCATCATTTAAAATTATAATTCCCATTTCTGTTTAAGTTTTTGTGTCCTGTTACATTTACTAAATGTTAGGATTTTGAACTTCTTCCAGGTTTTTAAATCTCTTAATCTCTCAAGTGTTATCATTTGCTTATAAATCTCTTTGATCCACTGCTTTGCTTGTCTTACTTAAAAATGAGTAATTTTATTTAGCTATCATTTTTTACCAGATTTCGTCTTCACAAAGACAGTTTAAAGCCAAACTATATTTGGATTGTTTTCTATTATAAGATTTACTATTGAAAGCACGTATGTCTGAGTTTTATTCCCAGACTCTACGGAAACAGAATCACATACAACCTGCAACAGAATGTTTAAACAAAATGAAAGAAAAATACACAATGACAAAACAGTTGAATTGAGCAGCTTGAAATGGATGTAAAATGGCTAAATATTTTACACATTCGGGGAGGTGCCAGCTTCTGAGAGAGCATCATAGGAAAGACTAAGGTAAAAGAAAGAAATAAAAATTCATTTTCCTTTTAGAAATCACATTTTTGTGAACGAATTTGTTAAAAATAGTATTTTATAAGGGACAGTAAGGTGGTCTTCTTTCAAGTGAAAAGAAATATTCTGCTGCATAAAAAGAGAAGCATTTAGAACATTACTGTTACTTGTTTCAGAGAATTACACATCCATTTTCATTCAATTTAAAACAATCAACAGTTCGCGTGATGGAAACCGGTTGTAACATTATAGTTAGAAGTCTCTCAGTAGTAACACAACACAGTGTACTCACACCTCTTATTGACGTGAACAGAAACAATCCAGTAGAATTAAAGCAGTTGTGTCGGATGTGGAACTCCTCAAGACCTGGAGGAAGAAAAAAAGATGATAGAAGAATTTACAGATGCTGCTGTAATTGAACTCAAAAGAGTACACAATGTATCATATCAAACATTACAGATTACAAAACTGATCTATCAGTTGACACCAGTTGAAGTCCTCAAGTATGGCAAAACTTCCTGGCCATGAAGAAAATTAAACGCTGGAATTGTAGAGGTTTTAATTACTGTTTCTTGGCATCTAAACCATATTTAGATATTTTTTAAAAGACTGCTTTCCTCCAAGGCTAGTGAAAATTTACTCATCATGTCTCTGCAATCACAATTTTGGTGTCGAAAACTGTGGCAGGTTCTGAGTGCTCCTATTACTTCACTCTCTTATAACATTTTAAAAGAATACAATGATGCATTGACTATATATTCATACTGCTTCAGCTCTGTATTAAGACGACTGAACACTAGTGTCAATTGGTTGTTTAGAAAGACTAGGAATTTATTGTTATTGTGTTATTACCATAAAATACAATATTTTACCTACCACATTCCCAATAAATTCCTGTCTATACATGCATTTGGTGGGGTAGAGAAAGAGCAGCTGGAAGGACGAACAAAGCAGAGTTTGAGGGCGACTGCTTTCCATTCTATCGTCAGAGAGAGCAGCCACCGCTGGAACTGATTTGCCCTCTAGGATAGAGCTAAAGCAGAATCTGCACTCTGCTGTTTTTCTTGAGTGTCTTGCTTGTTCAAGCCCAGACTGTTTGCCAAATTTGAAATTTTTAGAAGTTTCACCTTTTAGTCAGGTTGGTGTAAGAATTTTAATGCATTTTTAAGCCTATCAAAATCCCAGGGGATGCTTCATCTGCTAGGTTCATATGGTTTTAATTCACATAATCTATTCCTTGTAGTTGCAATTCAGGCACTGGTAGTGCTTTGAGCTCTACTTTTCACTGCCTGTGGCACACAATTTAGTCTTGTAAAAGCTTTAATAGAATTACAATCCTTGGGCTTGATGTGGGGTACATGGGTGTGTCCTGACTACATATGTGTCCTGATTTTGACTACAACAGGACCATTTCTCCTTTCAGCAGAAATGCAGGGTGTTGGGCAAGATGAGGTGGGAACATTTTCTGGCTTTAGACTCCATAAAATTAGCAGCATGGCATTTTGTTCAGGTCACCCCACAGAGCTCATGTTGTGCATGAGTGGATTGTTTGCTTGTTGAAAGAGCTAAGAAATTTTCATGCCCTATTACAAAATCAAGGAAAACTAACACAGACTGCAATTTTTTTAAACATTTAACTAAACTAGCAAGTAGCACCCTGTAAACTGTGCAAGGATAGCAAGTAACTGCTGGCAGCTCAATCAGTTATTCAGGAAAGGCAGGGTGAACAATGATAGGTAACAATTTTGTTTCAAGTTGTCGCTTTAGACTGGTCAGAGCCTCCTCAAAATCCCTTGCGTAGTATAGTTGCTTTAAAAGAAGTTAAGGACAGAATCATCAAGAAATTCAGATATGTCATTCTGCTTTACAGATGTCAAATCAGAGCTGTTTTCTGAAGAAAAGATGAAAAAAAAAAAAAACCTCAAACATTCAAGATGCATTTTCACTGGAACATTTTTTTGAAGTTTAATTCACTCCAAACTCGGCTTTTGCTAGAAAATGTGCTAAGCTGCAAATTAATACTTGCAGAAACTATTTAAAAATCGATTATAAATGTCACCAAAATTATGGATTTTTTACGAAATAGATTAATCATTAATTAAACTAATACTTTTTGTGAAAAAAAGTGGTAAAGCTATTTCTTACTTAAAGTGTTGGCTCTCAGAAGTCAAAGTTTATGAGAAAACCAGTTAACAAATAATAACAGTAATATTTTATTCTTTTAAAACTGTGTTTTGCCTTTCTTGTATTGAGATGCAAAAATACACCTAAGAAATGCAATGGGAAATACAGAGTTCACCTGAGACCTGTAAAATTCATTGTGTGCTTTTTCAGAGCCACTTAAACAGAGGAGAGGCAAGGGAGATGCTGAAAAAATGGCTCTGATCAACTCAGTCTTCAATGAATTGCCTTGTCACAGTTTCTCAAGGGAGTTCATCATGGAAAGTGTTCAAGAGACTGTTTCCTCAGCCAGCATAAGCGCAAAATGACACTGGAGTAATTTTAGTATCAGTACCGATGCATGACTGTGGTTTATTGATAAATTCCAACAGGTTTATTAGAACCTCTGCAAATATATCTTCAGTGTTAAGCCAGGTAATTTAGAGTTTGTGTGCTTCTCTACCATGTAGGATGATATCAGTTTAGAAGATCACCAGGGAAAAATATTTTATGAAGATTTTGTAGACAGAATAGGTAAGTCCTTGAAGACAAAATCAAAGCTTTACGTAGCCTACTCTCTCTTCTCTAGCAGTGACCAACAGATAGCACATGTGAAAGGTATTGAGGAAGCAAATCTACCCGATTATTATTCTTGAAAACTGGTGAATTTTCATCCAGCTGACAAAATTCAAAGTTTTAGTGTTTTTTCACCATTGTTCTAATAAAGATTGTCCAAGCCAATTTTATGCTTAATATGGTTGTAGTAAAACACCAGTTTTGCAATACTGTGTTATCCCTTTAAAGTTGTTTAGATTTGTTTTTTCTGGAGCTTATACCTAGATAAAATATTTATAGCTTGGAACAATACTATGTAACAAATATCATCTTAGGGTGTTAGAAATCATTAAAAATAACAGCAGTAATTTACTTAAAGACATCTAATGGATTCAGGGAAGCTTAACTGAATTCCTCTTATGTTTGCATTTCTGGTAAATGTGAAAGAGATTTTGAAAAGTTTGGAAACATTACTATTTCCTTGTATTTTGTGAGAAGATCTGTAGTGCTCACATTCTGAGTTAAAAACCTTGTATTCATAAGATATACTTGGGTAAAGAAGTAGAAACAGACAAGTGTAAGGCAGTCTGGTCTGTATCTGTTTTACAGATGAAAGGATGGTTTCTTTTTCAGCACTGCAAATTTTATACATTTTGGAGGGACAGAAAAACATAAAAATTAGGAAAACTATAGCATGATTTATTTTTCTGTGAAATTTAAAGGGAGTTTTGATTTAAGTAATTTTTCATTTTTACAGAAATTTTTGAGGTAAAAGGTTATGTACTTTGCAGAGTTCTCCTTGGATTTCCTCAGGGATGTTTAAAAGCCAGCATAAATATTTCAGCAGCAGTGTGTTAACACTACAGCATTAGCCATAAATTTACTAGCAGTTCAGTAGAACCATATTGAGTGGAACTGTTTAATTTTGTCATTGAACACCTGGGGTTATCCAAAGAAATCTGTCCCAGATTATTTCATCTTGCTTTTCTAGTTTTCCCTGTAAAAAGGTGGAGAAGGAACAAGCTTAAGTGAAACTCTGTCCCTTACTATACCTGGCTAATTCACGCAGCTATTGGATTCTACTGAAAATGCAAATGTAAAATTCTGGATCACTTCATCATACTTCATCAATACAGCCATAGAAGGACTTAATTAAATGTCTTCATTACTATAGATGTACTTTATGAGACAGAAAACCTGCAGAGTCAGAATTGTCAGTGTAGTGATAAGTATTCCTGCAAACTAGACAGAAACAAAATAACTGAAGGGACATATTTTTGATTCATTGCAAATAATTATATTTGATACTTTAGATAGATGAGCAACAGTATCATACAAATTAGTAAATCCTGGATCAGGACCTAGAATATCCTACCTGTAGAATATCAGGACAGGTAAGATCAGCTGAAGGGCAGCAGGGCATTAACATAAAAATAAGTACTGCTTAGCCACCAGGCACTCCCAGTTTATTTCAGAAGTACTCTGGAGGGATGCTGCTCTGGTTTGTAAGAAAAACTAAGAACAGCTTCAAAATTTTAGTCAGTCATTTCAGTCCCATCACCATCAATTTATGTTAGAGCTATAAAAACAAGAGGAATATTTTACCTTTTTGACTGAGGAGGGACAAACTTGTCTGGACAGAATAAAGCAGACTGTTTCCTTTTCTTTTCTGCTTCTCCTCCTCCCCAGTCTAATATTTTCTTCCTGTCTTTACACCTGACAGAAACTTTTGTTAGAGCTCCAGAACCAGATACCTTTTCTACATAATTTTCCTTTTGTAAGAAACTGAAAATTCCAAATTGCCTCTTTCATCCCATAAATGTATGTCTTCTTCACAATAATGAGATTCTTTTCTGAGTGGAAAATACTTCAAAGCATCTTACAGTCTCTGTGTTATTTTCCTGGGGCCTTCTCCTGCTCTTTGTCATCTTTCTTTACGAATACAGCAGGATAATCACCTCTTTTGACCTGCTGATTATGCTGTGTTTGATGCACCTCAGGATGCCGTTTGCCCCCTTGACTGCCAGGTCACACTGCTAACCCGAGCCTACTGCCAACGAGTACCCCCAGATCACTTTCTGCAGGGCTGCTCTCCAACCAGTCCTCTCCCAGTTTATACTTGTGTCCAACATTACTCTGTCCTAGGTGGAGAATCCAGCATTTTGACTGGTTAAATTTCATCCCATTAAACATAGCTCAATGTTCCAATCTATCTAGTTCCTTCTACAAGGCCTCTTGTCCCTCAAGAGAGTCAACAGAACCTCCCAGTTTGGTATAATCAGCAAACTTGCTAATGGTGCATTCAACTACTGCATCCAGATCATTGATAAATGCATTGAACAAGACTGCCCTAGAATTGAACACTGAGGAACACGGCTGGTGACCAGTCACCAGATGTAGCCCCATTGACTACAGCCCTTTGAGCTCTGCCCAGCACACCATGTATCTGCTCATCTCACAGCTGGACAACAGTCCAGAAGGATGCTGTGAGGAACAATATCAAAAGCTTTACTAAAATCCAGGGAACCAACATCCACTGCCTTCCCTTCATCCACTGATGGGTGACCTTATCCTAGAAGAACGTTAGATTAGCTAAACAGGACTTTCCCTTTGTGAACCCGTGTTGATTGTGCCTGATGGCTGCACTGTGCTTTAAATGCCTTTCAGTAGCACCCAGTATGATCTCCATAATTTTTCCAGATACTGAGGTTAGACTAACAGGTCTGTAGTTTCCTCAGTCCTCCCTCATGTCCTCCTTGTCAACTGGAATAACACTGACTAGCTTCCAGTCAGCAGGGACCTCCCCAGACTCCCAAGACTTTTGGTAGATAATTGAGAGGGGTTCTGCTGTAACACCTGTTAGAACCTTCAGTAGTCTGATCTAAATCCCATCAGGCCCCACGGATTTATGAATATTCAACTGATGCAACAGATCCTTTACAATTTGAGTATCCACAAATGGAAAGACACTGTTCCCACACTCATAGTCCTCCAACTTAGGGATCCACGGAGCCCAAGGTCTATCAATATTATTAAAGATCGAGGCAAAAAATGCATGGAATGCCTCCTCTTTTTCCTTCATCTGTGTTAGTCAGATGACTATCTTCAATAATTATCAATCTAATGTTTTCTTTGGATTTCCTCTTACTATTAACATACTTGGAAAAGCCCATGTTATCTGAAACAACACTGGCCAGTTTCAACTCTAATTGAACTTCGGCCTTCCATGTCTTCTCCCTGCATATATGAACCACTGCTCTGTAATCTTCCTGTGAAGCCTGACCTCACTTCCAGAGATCATACAATTTCCTTTTCTTCTTGAGCTCCGCAAGGAGTTGTCTGTTCAGCCAAGCTGGTCTTCTGCCCTGCTTGCTTGACTTTTGACACAATGGGATTACCTGCCCCTGTGCTTCTAAAAGGTGTTTCTTAAAGACTGACCCGCACTCATGGACATCTACACCCTCAAAAGCAGACTGCCAGGGTACTCTGCTAAATAGCTCCCTAAATAGCTTGAAGTTTGCACTCCTGAAATCCAGGGTAGCAAATCTGCTGTCCTTTTTTCTCATTACACTGATAACTTTAAACTCAACCATTTCCTGATCACTGTGGCCAAGACAGCCATCTACCATCATATCCCTCATGAAGGACTCTATTTGCAAATAGCAAGTCTAGGACAGCATCTTTCCTGGTTGGCCTATTGAGTGCTCGTGACAAGAAGCCACCTCCTACAAAATTCAAGAATTTCCAAGACCTCCTTGTCACAGCAGTATGATATTCCCAGCTGATGTCTGGGAAGCTGAAATCTCCCAGAAGGACAAGGGCTACCAATCCTGAAATTTCTCCTAATTGCCTATAGAATAACTCATCAGTGCTTACATCCTGTCTGGGTGATCAGTAGTTGACACCCACTACAACATCTTCTTTGTTTTCCATCGCCATTCTGGTAGTCCTTGATGGATATTTGGCCTTCTTTCTATAGCCAGTATGCTTATTTTTAGCTTTTAAGCCTACCCAAAAGCTCATTATTAAGCCAGAGTGATTTCTTGTTCTGCCTTCTTCCTTTCTCTTTGTAGCGAATGGATTTTTATTGTGCTTCCAGGAAGCTGTTCTTGAATAACTCCCAGCACTCACAAGCTGCTTTACCCTCCATGGATGCTTCCCATAGAATCCTTGGAGCTGGGCTTTGAACATAATGAGGCTGGCTTTCCTCAAATCCAGGAAATCCAGGATCTTTATCCTACTACTGGTCTTCAATGTGCATTGCAGGTTCTTAAACTGCAATGTTATGGTCACTGTATCCAAGTCTACCATTGGTAGTTATGTTGTCAAGTAAGCTTTCTAGGTTTGTGAGCAGTAAATCTAGCAATGCGCAGTTCCTAGTTGGCATGTTCAGCATCTGTAGCAGGAAGCAGTCCTCAATGCATTCTAGGAACCTGATGGACAACCTGTGTGCTGCTATGTTGTATTCCCAACAAATGTCAGGGAAATTGAAGTCCCCCATGAGGACCAGATTCTGTTGGCCCAAGACTTCTCTGAGCAGCCAAGGTAAGGGTTTGTCATCCTTGTCATCCTGATTGGGAGGTCAGTAACAGATAACTACCATAAGATCCCCTGTTGTGATGATCCCTCTAATCATGACCCAAAGGCTTTCAATAGAACTTTCATGGTTTCCATAGCTCACTACTATCACTCAAATTTCTCTTTTGCATAAAGTGCAACTCCATCTCCTCTTCTTTCCTTCCTATCTTTCCAAAACACTTTGTAGCCATTCATTGCGGTCTTCCAGTCATGTGAGTTTTCCTACCAAGTTTCTGTGATTGTTATGACATCATAACTCTTAGACTGTGCACAGAGGTCCAGTTCCTCCTGTTTGTTGCACAGATTACATGTGTTGGTATACACGCATTTGAGGTGTCCAAACTTAGAGTTCTTGCCTTTGGAGAGCAATCCTCCCTCCTCTGGTAGATGCGCTCATCCACTCTTTTGCTTATGAATACACAGGTGTCATCAATTTGGACATTACCCTCACACTTCACTAGTTTAAGGCACGATTCACAACGTCAGCCAGTCTACTAGCAAAGATTCACCTGTCTCTTCTAGATATGTGGATCCTGTCTCTTCCCAATAGGCTGTATTTGTTGACGAATGTCCCATGATCATAGAAACCAAAACCAAAACCCTGGCAATGAGAGCAACCACAAAACCAGGTATTGATCTTCATGATGTGTCAGCTTCTGCCTGTACCCCTATCTCTGACTGGGAAGACAGAGGAGAAGATCATTTGGGCACCTGTCCCTTCCACTTGCACTCCCAAAGCTTGAAGCCTTGCTTGATTTTGCCCAGGTGTTTCTTTACTGTGCCATTGCTGCCCACACGCAAAAGAATTAGCAGCTTTTGACCAGTTCTGGCAGTCTATGTGTGACATCCCAGATCCCGGATCCTGGCAAGCAGCAAATTTCCATTGACTGTATATCAGGCTGGCAGATGGGTGTCTCAGTGCCCCTCAGCAGGGAGTCACCCACTGCTAGCACTTGCTGCTTTCTTTTGTAGGTTTTAGTGTGTGCTGTGGTGCAGATTCTCCTGTGATTTTTGCTCTTTGGTTTTGTCCACTGCCAAGGTTTTATACTTCTTGTGGGTTGTTACATGCAAGGAAGGGGAGTGAAGGAATATCCTGTTCCCACAGGTTCACCAGAGATCGTGGCACCTTATGTTCCAACATGTTGTCTTTTTGCTGCTGAAGCTCTTTTTCTGGTAGTCCTTGGAATTTAGTGCTACTGGGCCCCAGTATTTCTTCTTCCAAAGTCTTGAATAACACTCAGTTTCTTGTTCACAAGCCCCCCCCAAAAGCACAGCCTGCCAATTTCCTCCTGCAGCTCCTCCACCCACTGCCTCAGTGATTCCAGCAGAGCATGTTTTGTGTGGGGAGCTTTCACCCTCCTCCACCCAGGGTTGTGGGGCACAGACTTTGCAGCCCTCCACCTGCACAGCAGGTTCCCTGACACGAAGCTCTCTCTGGGTGGCTGCCTCTACTCATCATCAGGCTGACTTGGCTAGGTGGATGGTTCCCAGCTACTGCAGAGAACAGCCCTTGCCTGGTCTCTACCAACACACTTCTCACAACCTCAAAGTCCTACCTAATAAGCCCTTCTAATTCCCTGGAGAGCTCAAGCTGGCGAGTAGATGTGCACAGCCACCAGCTGGGTGGGGTGACCGGCGGGGCCGCGGCCTAGGCCTGCTGGTGAGGGGAGCAGGCAGCAGCCCGATCACTGGCAGAGTGCACCGCGCTTTCAGCGTGCCCTTCTGACTGAACTGCCACACAAATTGCCGATGCCAGTCCCAACAGATGTCACTCCCTGCCTGCATGCGTATTTGCCGCTTCCTTTTTGTGTGCATTTTTTGCTTATGTAAAAATGTAGTTCCTTATTTTAGTTGACAGCATTCTTTCTGTGATAGTTGCCCTTCTCAATCCAAAGTTCAGAAGTTATTAAACAAATCTAACAATGGTTTGGGGCGAGGATTTATGGTTAATTGTAGATACTATTGGTAATGGATCAAATTAATTTTATTTTTTTTTTGCCATGAGTAGCTGGGCATATCATAATGAAGACTAGAAAGCAAGTAATTTAAACTGTCATCTTGGTAATGCACAGAAAATAAGAAATATTTTCAGTGCAGTGACCAAGAGCTTGCAGTATTTTCACATTAGCATCAGATTGCCAAAAATCTCTAATTACCTCAGCACTGTGACTATAGACAAGGTTGTAGCAGTTACCTAAAAGTACGTAAAAGTTCCTTTAGACATCTATCATAAACTATACTGCTTAGAATCTGCATATTATTCAGTACTCATGCATTTTCTACTTGCTTTGAAAGAGGAAATACTAGCTTCCAGCTGACTGGCCTGAAGTCTTTCATTATACATCTTAATATGATTATGATCAATTTTGTTTCTTTATGTTATCACGATTTAAACTCTAAATCGGCCCTATTTTTTTTTCTCTTAAATGCAAAAGTGCGGGTTTTGAAGAGTCAATCTTTAATGAGCATGCTCCCATTTTGCAGGACCTGATGATCATCTTTCAGCTTCTGCATTGGAATGGAAGCCTTGAAGCCCTACATGAAACAAAGTGCTCCTGGTAGGTGGGACATCACATCAAAAACTTGGCTGTGCGAGTGGTTGTCACAGAAGTGCATAAACTAATCTGAACCAAGGATAAACTTAACCAAACTATTTCTTGTCATCACCAAACCAAGCAACCAATAGTAAACAGGGACAATCCCAGAACCAATCAGCCTTCTGGTAACATTTGAAACACCACTACAGGTCCATCCCACCAGTTGGGGTCTTTTTACTACACAGTGACACACAAGAATGGTCCACACACACACTTACTGTCATAAGGGCAAACTCTCTCAAGGGTACCAAGAAGAATTAATTGCTTGCCCAAAGGGGCAAGGGCTCACTCAAGGATATATCTCCAGAAGAAATGTTCACTCACCAGGGGGAGGTGAGGGCTCTCAATCCCAGGAAGTTTCCTCAGATGGTGTCCTGATCTGAGGGGAGAGTGTCCAATCACAGTCCCAGTGGTCTGACAAAACCACTGAAAGGGGAACTTCACCGGGGGGCCCCATTTATTACTCTGGTTGGATCTGACTCATGGTCATATTTGGGCATGGTCCAGAAGCTTCTCAGACCTGCTGTACCCCATTGGCTGGGGACCCTACCTGTTGAGGAGGGGTTTCCACCTCTCATGCTCCCCTGCCCAAGGCATGTATGTGGCTGAGGGCACCCAGCTCTGGTGAGTACTTGAAGGTTGGCAGCCGACTAAGGTGTGTATGTGATTGCTGTCATGGTCGGGTCTAAAAAGCATGAAAAGTAAGGGTGTGAAAAAGCCAATGGCTGCCACACTAGAAAGGACAGAAAATAATCAAAATTCTTCTGAAAACTGATTTTACCTTCAAAAGAGGTAAGGTCAAAAGACCTGCACAGGAGATTCAGTTTTTAGGAATAAAATGGCAAGATGGGTGTTGTCCATATCCCCATGGATGTGCTCAATAAAATAACAGCTATGCCTCCACCAACTAAGAAATACAAACATAAGCTTTCTTAGGTGTCATGGGTTTTTGGAGAATGCATATTCCTGGTTAGAGTCTGATCATAAGCCCTCCCTACTGAGAGACCTGGAAGACGCACAATTTTGAATGGGGCTCTGAGCAGCAGCAAGCCTTTGAACAAATTAAATGGGAGATGGTTCATGCGGTAGTACTTGGGCCGGTCTGGACAGGACAAGATGTGAAAAACATGCTTTACACTGCAGCTAGGGACCACAGCCACACTTGGAGCCTCTGTCAGAAAGCACCTGAAGGGACTCAAGGTTGATCTCTAGGGTTTTGAGTAGGGGATATACAGGATCTGAAGCCCGTTACACTGCAACTGAAAAAGAAAAATTAGCAGCATATCAAGGAGGTCGAGCTGCTTCAGAAGCAGGTGGTACTGAAGCACAGCTCTTTTTGGCACCTCAATTGCCTATGTTGGGCTGGATGTTCAAAGAGAGAGTGTCCTGTATGCATCATGCCACTGAGGCTACATGGAGTAAAGTAGGTTGTGCTGGTAATGCAATGGGCTTGGATGAGAAATCCCAACCACTCAGGAGTTCTGGAAATGATCATGGACGGGACAGAGGGCCAAATCTTTGACACATCATCAGAGGAGTTGATTCATGCTGAAGAGGCCCTACTGTATAATAAATTACCTGAAAATGAAAAACCATATGCCCTGTTTACTGATGGATCCTATTGTATTGTGGTAAAACATTGAAGGTGGAAAGCTGCTGTGTGGAGTCCTACACAAGTCACAGAAACTGCTGAAGGAAAAGGTGAATTAAGTCACTTTGCAGAAGTGAAAGACATCCATCTGGCTTTAGATATTCCTGAACAAGAAAAATGGCTGAAAAATATCTCTATATTGATTCATGGATGGTAGCAAATGCTCGGGGAGGTGGCTACAGCAATGGAAGCAGACCCACTGGCAGTGCGTAGAGGCAAACCCATCTGGGCTGCTGAATTGTAGCAGGATGTTGTTTCCTGGGTGGAGAACCTGGATGTAAAAGTATGTCATGCAGATGCTCGCATACTGAAGAGTTGTGCCACTGAAGAACATCAAAACAATGAGCAGGTGGACAAGGTTGCTGGAATTGAAGTGGCTTAGGTGGATCTGGATGGGGAACATAAGAGTGAGCTATTCATAGCTCAATGGACCCATGACACATCAGGACATCTAGGAAAGGGTGCAGCATACAAATGGGCGCATGATCAAGGGGTGGACTTAACCATTGATGTCATTGCAGAGATTATCCATGAATGTAAAATGTGCACCGTGATCAAACAAGCCAACTGGCTAAAGTCTTTTTCGTATAGGGGATGATGGTTGAAATATCAACATGGGTAAGCCTGACAGATTCATTACATCACACTACCATAAACCCACTATGGCAATCACCATGTGCTTCCAATGGTGGAAGTAACTACTAAATGATTGGAAACATATTCTGTGACCCATACCGCTGCCTGGAATACTATCTTGGGCCTTGGAAATCAAATGTTATAGTGACACAGCACCCCTGAAAGAATTGAAACAGATAATGGTACTTATTTACAAAACAACCTCATAAACACTTGGGACAAGGAGCACGACATTGACTGGATGTATCACATCCCCTGTCATGCATCAGCCTCCAGGAAAATTGAACAATACAACAGACTGTTAAAAACTACATGGAGAGTAATGGGTGCTTGGACATTCAGGCACCGGGATACAAATTTAGCAGAAGCCGTTTGGTAAGTTAACACTAGAGGATCTGCCCAATCAAAACCCCTGGGCACTGTGGAAGGAGATAAGGCCCCCACAGTATGTATAAGGAACTGGCTGGCGAAAACAGTTTGGGTTACTGCTTCCTGTGGAAAGGGCAAACCTATTCATGGGATTGTTTTTCTCAAGGACCTGGGTGCACTTGGTGGGTAATGCAGAAGGATGGGGAAGTTCAATGTGTACCTCAAGGTGATTTAATCCTGGGTGAAAATAAACCATAATTTCAGCTGTATGATGGCAGTGCTACATGATGCTGCATGTCACCACTGCTGTGGCCGTGCTGTGTCAAAGGTATTAAGCAGGAATCTGTTGCTGCTAGCCGGGCTAGAGGCAGGAAGAGAAATTCATTGCAATGTTAAACTTTATGGCCTAGTCCAAAAGGACCAGTGGTGGAGACTGTAATGGATATACCTTTATATTGTTGCAATCTATGATTTGAGTTGCAAAACCTGCCTGAAACAATGAAGAACAGACCTCACAAGAAGCAGGGCAAATGCAGTAGTGACCTGACTTGAGCTGGTTTTGGTGTCCAGTAACTCCACACAATGCACCACCTCTCGTGTCCTGAGTGACCACTATAACAGGTGATGTCATAGACCAAATGAACTCAATGGACACTTTATGGATATGTATGGACATTTTATGAACATTTTATGTTCAGGCAAAGGAGTGGTTAATAAGGATGGATAGCAACAGTGTGGGACCTGAACATGACATAAAATGGTATGGAATAAGGGATGGAGAATGTATTGGTTTTGGCTGGATAGAGTTAAGTTTTTTCACAGTAGCTTGTACACAACTACATTCTGGATTTATGCTGACAATAGTGTTAATAACACTCCAAAGTTTTGTTACTGCTGAGCAGTGCTTACACAGTGCCAATGCCTATTCTACCCCTCACACTGCCCTGCCAGCGAGTAGATTGGAGGTGCACAAAAAGCTGGGAGGGGACACAGGTAGGACAGCTGACCCCAACTGGCAAAAGGGATATTCCATATCCTCTGGTGTCATGCTCAGCAACAAAACTGGATGTGGAAGCTTGGCAGGGGGGGTGCCGCTGTTCAGGAACTGGCTGGGCATCAGTCGGTCGGTGGTGTGCAATTGTTTTCATTTGCAACACTTGTTTTTCTCAGGTTTTAATTTTGCTCTGTTATTTTTCCCTCTTCTTAAAATTATTTTTTAAATAAATTATTATTTATTTTTAATAATGAAACCATTTTTATCTCAATCCACTCTTTCTCACTTTCACCCTTCCTATTCTCTTCCCATCCCACTGGGGGGGAGTAAGCAAGCAGCTGAGTGGTGTTTAGTCGCTGGCTGGGGTTAAACCACACCACCTGGCTACACCTGTGTGGGAACCTTAGGTGGTGGGTATCTGTTTTGGAGCTAGGCTGTGGTGAGGCTCAGGAGATAGATGAGGGTTAGGTGGTAGAGCAAACGCAGAGCCACAGTGTTAGTAGGGTAGTGAAGGGGCTGCCAAGGGAAGGTGAGGGCCGACAACAACTTCCAGTCCTAACTGCTTCTGTGTGGGGGCTCTAGGTGGTGGCTGTCCATTTCAGAGCTGGGGTCTGACAAAGGTGAGGGGGTAGGTGGGGATTAAGTGGTAGAGCAAGCATAGATCTCCAGTGTTTGTGGGGCTATGAAGGGGCAGTCAAGGCAAGGTAAGGGCTGCTAACAGCTTTCAGACCCAGCCACTTCTGTGTCAGACCCACACCTGGCAAGTGTGTGTTTGGAACCTGGGCTCTGGTTGTGGGCCTGAAACGGGGCTGGCAGCTGAAGGTGAGAGCTGCCAAAAGCTTTCAGTCTGGTCTTTTCGGTATGGGAGATATTGCTGGCGGCTGTCAGTTTTCCTTGGTTCTTGCTAGAGTGAGGGTGTAGGTGAGGGTAAGGTGGTAGAACATTGTTCAGAGCGGCAGTGTTTGTGGGATGTGAATGGGCTGTCACATGAAGGTGAGGGCTGCAAACCACTTCATGTCTGGGCCACATCTGTGCAGGAGACACAACTGCTGGGTATGTGTTCAGGACCCAGTCTCAGGCTTGAGTAGAAGGTGTAGATGAGATTCAGGTGGCAGATCAAGCACAGAGCCCCATTGTTGGTGGGGCTGTGAATGTACTGCCAAGGGAAGCTAAGAACTTGCAAAAGATTTCACTCTTGGCCACTGCTGTAGCCTACCTTACCCACCTCTACCCTAAGCCCATGTCCAAAAAAGAGCCTTGCCAGCAATAACTCCCAAGAAAAAGTCCCCTGGAATGAAAGCATTTGGCAGCTCTTACCATCCATTGGAACCCCCTTCGAATAATGTCAAACATTGGAGCTCTGTTATTTGACCTTCACCTAACCGTAACATTGATTCTCCTCCTGATTCACACCCTTGGCAGAGCACAGGTCAAACATGAAGTTCTGACAGCTGTGGCTCCTAGGCAAAACTGAGGATTTTTTGAATCCATCGCCTTCCCATGACCTTCCCCTTGCAGCCCTAAAACACTTGCACCCTGCACCAACTCAAACACTAGAAGCATCACCTACCCCTCACCCTAGGCAGACCCCAGGAATAAAACGGACACCCACCAGCTAGAGCTCCCATACAGAAGTGGCCAGGATTGAAAGCTTTGGGCAGCCCTCACTCTAGCACTCAATCCCATCCCACACAATGACCATAAACCTAGTCACAGCTAGCTTCAAAATGGACACCCATCAGCTAGGGTTTTCACACAGAAACGGCCAAGTTTGGAAGCTTTTGACAGCCCTCACCTTCCCTTGGCAGCCCCTTCACCACCCCACTAACACTGGGCCTCTGCAGTTGCTCTACCATCCAGCCCTCACCTACCCCCTCAGCCTCACCCAGAGCCCAGCTCCAAAATAGACATCCACCACCTAGGCCTCCAAATGGAAGTAGTCAGGACTGACAGCTGGTGGTAGCCCTCACCTTCCCTTGGCAGCCTCTTCAGTCAAATAAACACTGAGGCTCGGTGTTTGTTCTTGCCATGTAACCACACCATGATCACAACCCTAGACAGAGTAGAGTACCATCACAAACTCTGCCAATCCTGGCTCCCTAGAAAAAGCGGCCAGATCTGAAACCTTTGGCATCCCTCAACTTCCTTTGGCAGCTCCTTCGCAGCCCCACAAATACTGGGACTCTGCTCCCTCTTTTGCACCTATGGCTAATTCTCACTCTTGTCTTAACCCTTAACAGACCCCAGCTCCAACATGGATGCTGTCAGCTGTTGCTCCCATGAGTAAAATGGGAAAGCTTTTGACTGCCCTTATGATGCCTTTCTGCCCTTGGCTGTTCCTTCACAGTCTCACAAACACTGGGGCTCTGCTCTTTGTCCTGCACCTATGGCTAAGCTTTACCCCCACACTAGCCCTAACCAGAACCCAGATATAATGAAACACCCCATGCTCTATGGCTCTTAGGCAAAAGTGGACAGGACGGAAAGCTTCTGGGGGCCTCCACCTTCCCTTGGTGGCTTTTTCACAGCCTCCCTAACACTGGGGCTCTGTTCCTTGCATTCCATGGAACCCTAACCTGTTTCCTGACCCTCACCCTACCCTAAGCCCATGTCCAAAACAGAGCCTTGCTGGCAATGACTCCCAGGAAAAAGTGACCACGACTGAAAGCTTTGGCAGTCCACCTCTTCCTTTGGCAGCCCCTTCACAGCCCCACGAACAATGAGGCTCTGCTCTTTGTCCTGTACCTATGTCTAACCCTCACCCTAACCCTAGCCAGAGCCCCAGTCCAACAGGGCCACTGCCAGCTATGGCTCCCAAGAAAAAGTGCTCAGGACTGAAAGCTTTTGGCATCCCTGACCTTCCTTTGGCAGCCTTTTCTCAGCCCCCTTAGCACTGGGGCTACACACTTTGTGTTGCACCAAACACTGTGTTGCACCAAACCCTAACCCTTTTCCTGATCCTCGTCTGACCCTAAGTCCATGTCCAAAATGGAGTCTTGTCAGCAATGGCTGTCTGTCCTGCACCAGGTCTTAGCCATTCCAATCTTCATCAGTTCCCAATATACTCAAAAAGGGAGGAGTATATTTAAGGATTTCTTTTAAGGATTTCTGATGGAAGGAGGACTCTCTGACAGAAAAAATAATTTTAAAACCTCTACAACTGACATACCAAAAGTATGCATATACAACAAACATTAAAATGAAAAAAACATTGAATAATTCCTCCCCAACCTTCCCGATTTTCTTGGTATAGTTTGCTTGGTATAGCTCCACGCTATTTCCTTATAACTGTCATTAAAGCATTTGCATAAAATAGTCAATTTTTTAAATTCCACAGCAGAAATCAGGAGGAAGATGGGATCTTCTTCCACAGTCTCCATTTCATATTTGCTATGTGTCAATCCTGCAATCAGGGATGAAGTAAAACATATGTGAGGGGATAGAGAGATAGAGAAGTGAAAATTTACTACTGACTTCTCATTTAATATGAACAAGTGACTAGAAAGAAAAAGAGATAACATATATATATTTACACACACAAATATGCAAAGATAGAACTAATATTTCTGTAGATTCCAAACACTCAAAATAAAGGAGGAAATAAAGCGATAACACATGGCAGTACAAAAATTCCAAGAACATACTTAATTACAATTCTAATTCCATAACTTATAAGGAAATCTTACTTATTTTCAATGTTTATACTGCCAGATCCTTCTTCAGTGCATATAGAAACTATTGTCCTGGTTTGGCTAAACAGGACTATTTCTCCTTTCAGGAGTTTTTCTTGCAGTTAAGGTTCTTCTAAGTAGCTACACTTTCTGAAAGTACAGCTACACGTTTTTCAGACACTGTCTGTGTTTCAGACCTGATAACGCTTGATGTTTACAGTTGCTACTGAAGTATTGGTAGGATTGGTATGCAGAAAGGCCCATGTTTATACTTATCCCCATGAGAACCAAGGCCACTGCTGGCCTTCTTTTGTTAAACAAGTAAAAAAGTCCTAAAAGAGTCACACCTGTGGAAGAGTGCAGGCAGGACAGGTGACCAAAAACTGACCAACGAGGTATTCCATCCCACCATTGTCATCCTTAGTATAAAGCTAAGGGATCATGAGGGTCTCACTCTCTTCTTGCATGGCTGGCATCCCTGTGGGACCCTGCTCGCTCTCCTGCTTCCGACCCCGATCCGTGCATTCCTGAATCCGGTTCCTGTCAGCTGCGCAGTCCGGTCCAGGACGTCCGGGTGCCTGCCCTGCTGTGGCATCCATGCAAGCCGCTGCGGGATGCAATTCCTCGACCATCATCAGGAACCTCAGTATCAGTTTTGTACATTTTTCCTTTTCTTTCCGTTATTAGTAGTATTAGTATTAATATATTTTTTTCATTGTTATTGTTTTATTAAAGTGGTTTTAATTTCCAGCCCGTAAGTCTCTCTCCCTTTTCTCTGTCCCTTCCCCTCCCAGGGGGAGGGAGAGATTCACAGAGAGCATCTGCCATTGCTTTTAAGAGCTGGCCCAGCCTTAAACGATGACAATTATTCGTTTCTGGGCCTTTTGGGCAAACAAGTGTTCGCACAC